CAAATCCTACACAACAAGTCTATGAGGGCTAGGCAGGGCAAGACCATGAACTTGGTGGAATTCCTTATTAGTGCTGGGAACGCGATGGCCGAGGACTATGTTGCAAAGCGCCTCCAAGATCGTGCGCAACCCAACAACGGTGCACAGGCCGAAGCAGTATCCCTCAACCGGCTGACAGCGCGACATTTTCCGAAGTGGCTTCCACCTACCCCGCAGAAGGAACACCCATTTAGGGTTTGCTTTGTATGTTCGGCACGGAAGAGGAAAGCTGGACAGCCTCTTGGAGCAGCACCCACCAATCGCCAGCGCAAGGAAACACAGTTCTGGTGTGAGCCTTGTGGGAAAGCTCTGTGTCCTGCACCATGCTTTGAGATATTTCACACTAAAAAGGATTACCTGTTATGACAAGGTAGGACTGTTTATTTTTTACTTTCATCTTTTCCTTTGCCTTGACTTCTCTTGCTAGTTTACATCAGCATGATGATGGCATTTGTTGTCAACACTAACAAAATCTAACATTCTTTCTTCCAAGTTCATCTATATCTTCTGTTCAGTGGAACCCGTTCCTTATATTGTTGAAGATAATAACACAAATAACATATTCTGTTGTAAAAGGTCTAACAAATTGTTGTCTTTTGATGTAATTACTCTACTGTTTGGTTACTGCCTAGTTTTTATTCTGAGAACGAGCCTGAACAACATTTTTTCTGCCATGAAAGACACACTTCTTTTATATGTGTTGTGTCATGTGTTGCCTTACCCGCTCATTTGTATTGATTACACAGTTATTTTGGGCTTCTATTACAATAATAAGATAGCACAACTCAGTTTCATACATCAGTCATCATCACTCACACTACAGAACATAAAATATTCTCTTATTACATTGTGTTGTGCCTGTGAAGATGGAATTCTTTTGACAAGGTGAGTTTCATTTTGTTTACTTTTTGACTCTGTATATATACCTTTTTCCATGGAGTATTACATAAAAACTGTGGCATATTTTGCATTGAAATTTACAGTGCACACAAATAGAGATTTGGACAACATATGTACCAAATTTGGGTATGATTTGTTAAAATTTAGTATTTTTTTCAATTTTTCAAAAAGTGGTAAAAATCTCTAGGGAGAGCTGACAACCCGGAAGTGTAGGCCTAGGGTTGAGTGAGTTAAGGTTACTATGCAATACTTACACCTTCCTTACAATTCTTAGAGAGCAGTTACTTATAGAGAGATCAGTAATTCCTCCTTACTGGTATAGGTTGAGCATTTTTTTAGGAGGTGAGGTCAAACATTGGTAAAGTAGTCATGAAGTTCCCAAACGGTCCCAGTTTAAACATGATGCTGAATTTGAATCGGAGTTGTCTGTGCAGCTGTTTAGAAATATACTTACTGTGGTGACATATGCTTGAATTGTGTATTGGATGTATAAATACAAGTCTGACTCATAGTAGGTGTCCTTTTGTGCACTTAATTTGAAAAAATCAGGGTTTTTCAGAGAATTTTTTTTCTTGTAGCTGTGATTTAGGTGGATTGTGATAATAGTCAGATATTGTATTTTAAACTGTCAAGGGTTAAGAGACATGGATTTCAAATTAAAATTCTTTGAAGATTGAAAAAGATAATGTTATTGCTTGATATGTTTAAAAAAAGGTCCCCAACAAATTGAAAACAGAAGGCCCCTTCCCACAAGCTCTGCTCTTTGTAGAATTTGAAAACAAATCAGGATATTCTTAAACTGAACATGCGTCATAACTTCATAAAAGATTTTTATTTCCCTGCGTATTTCAAGGTCTTTGTTATGCATTACCACTGCGCTTTAAGTACAAACCATATCTGAAAATTGTCTTTTAATATAATTTAGTATTTTATCTCTTTTGTCCATAAGCGGAAGGTTTTATTGTGCTTCTGGTACTATTGATCTTTTTTTCCCAATGCTGGTGTCATTTGTTTTGAGCCATGTATTGTTTAAAACAGACACTTTTCTGTTGTTAATAGACTTTATTAATTGAATTTTTTCAACAGGAAGCTCCCTTTCCTTGTCACTTTAAAGGATGTGAAGAGAAGTTCGACACTTTGACAGACCGGCAAGCTCATGTGGTATCTCACAAAGGTAGAAAACAGAAGTGCTCTTATTATCATTTCAAAGTTCTAGGAATGGGCTGTAAGAAATATAAGCCCTGTATAAGCAGTTTTTAAAGTAGTTCATGCTGAAATGTTCCATTCTGAGCTTCAGTTAGATTATTTGTGCTGGATGTTAGGGTTGTTTTTTTTTTATCTAAAAAAAAAAAAAAGTCCTGCATTAGAAAAAGCACAAATTTTGAGGGGGGGAGGGGGTGGGGTTGGTCATTTCACTGCACTGTTTCTTGGGGTTTTGTTTGTCTTATTTGTATTACCTTCATAGTTTTCAGAGATTGTGGGCTGTATGTTCTTCAACTCATAGTGCTATTGATTTGTTCTGATATGTTATATTTCTTCACGAGAGAGTAGCATCCCCAGCCTATTTGACAGCAATAGGCTTTTTTCAAAGGTGCTCTTATATATCTGTATTGTATTATCTGCGTGCGCTGAACGGTGTGATTGATAAGTTGCAGGCCCTGGAAGGTGTATTGTTCATTGATATTCCACTGCCAAGTTTTGTCATTTGTAGTTGTTGGATTGACTGTGGTTGGGGTCTTTCAAAGCACATTGAATCTGTCTGCCCTAATCACAAACTGTCATTGAATAAAAATTGAGAAATATTTTTTATCGGAAAGACCAGATGCATTCAAATGTCATCGACTACTGCCACTTTTTTCTTGTTTCAGATAACCCACCTTATAAATGTGAAGTGGAAGACTGCCAGGAGGCCTTTTACCTTCTTAAGAATCTTGATAACCATTTGTGGAAACATTGCCGGAAACCATCTATGTGTGACTTTGAAGGCTGCAGCAGAACCTTTGAGGACCAGCTGTTATTAGCAAAGCACAGTAAAGTGCATTATGGTAAGTGATTCCAATAGATGAAGTTAAGTATTTTCAAAGTGAGAAGATATGCTGTGCATTTACTATTATTGCCATATATTTTGTTTGACCCTATCCGTACGTCGTGTTTTACTATCGTATCCATACAACGTGGGGAACTCTGTGCCACCACTTTCCAAAGAGGAAATTTACTCGTTAATCCGATCCGTACACTTTGCGTAGCAGTCTGTCAAAATGATTTTTTGAGAAATACTGAAAGTTTCAAAGAGATTTTCGTTCTAGAAGTATTCTAAAATGTGAAGAATACAACCCCAGGGGTGCAAAATGACCCCAGGGCGTACGGATAGGGTTAAAAGTAAAGTGTGAACTCACTATGTGCTTGAAAAAAAAAAAAAGCTGCCGAAGGTGTCTATGTCTCCAACTGTGAGGAAGAAAATAAATATGAAACTTAAAAAAAGATGCTTTTTAATACCAGTGTTTTAGAGGATATTTATTGAGAGTTAAGTCATTTTTTCTCCATTCGTGTGATCATTACAAAAATATACTCACAAAAAGAGTTCAACGGTCCCTTCTTGATAAGATTTTTTGCTGGTGAAACTGTGCTCCTGTATGATAACTTAAAAATTGCACAGCTCTCTAAACATTGTCAAGTTATGGCTCCTGCTGTTAGCAGAAAAAAGCTTCAAGTGGTTCTCAATGTATTTCATGACCTCTGCTGTTTTCCTTTAAAATATAGATGGCAGAATGCTTTGCTCCTGGCGCAACTGTGGCATATTCTTCTCCTCGATGGGTACCTTGAAGCAGCATCTGATTGCCCACAGCCGCTCCCTGAAAGCCAGCTTTGGCTCTGACTTCATGTGCAATCTTTGTGACAGAGTTTTCAGCAGCAAGCACGGCCTCAATCGACATATGGCGTTGCATGACTCTCAGGCCACAGGTGTGAACATCTCCTGTCTTATCATGTCGTCAGTAGTTCTTGAGAATTTACCCATGTTTTATGCATCAGTGCCTTGGAAGTGTGCAGCGAACTCCACAGCTTGAGAGTAGTATTTTCTTTTTCTTATGTCTTGTTGAGCTCACAATTAACTAAAACAAAAAGCTAATAAATATTTATAGGCTTCAGTACATTTGAATGAAGCCAGTCTGAAGGAAACGTGTTGTCACTGTCAAAAGAAAACTTTGTAACTCTGACCTTGTTTAACAGGATGAGTAAAAAACATTGAGTTTCTCTTTTTTCTTATGATGGCAATGATGTGTTCATGTTAAAACTACTGTACTATTTTATTGCCAGGGATTTATAGACACCTGTAACAGGATCTGTTTATCCTGACAGATGTGGACACAGAAAACTAGAATTAGCCACCAAATTTAGGTACCATTTGCACACACTTGGAAACATTCACTCATGTACAGTTTTGCTGCTTAGTGTTAGATGAAATAATGTTATCTAAGATGAACTCTGTAGTTCCAGATATCTGCTTGTATTTCTAGAAATAAAGAATAGTGATTGGGAACCAATTTATAAATGGTAAACAGATTAGGTAGCCTAATATTTTTATTGCTGTCTGTTTTGAAACATGGCCTCAGCTGAAACCAGACAGTTTTATAGAGTTTTTCTTTCTGTTTTACATTGTGTTGGTCATATCACTTTTGTGAGGGTTTGGAATTGTTACAAGTAATGCGTATCATCTTCTTCTTCAAGTGCCAGATCTGTAATAGAAATCATGGTTCGCCACTCGTTTCTGCTCAGATGCTCTTCGAAAACCTCTACTATCTTGTTCTTTACCAGGAACCCATAAATGTGTATCATTAATATCAGTTTCACTCGTTAGTCATGAAAATTAAACAGTTCGAGAATAACCACATCAACCATATGAGTTCCTGGTTTCAGTCCCTCTAGAAGACTCCGCTTTTGTGTGTGAAGAGAGTGGCTGTCATCAGCGCTTCAGTCTGGAGAAAGATTTCAATGACCACTTCCTACAGCACTACACCAGCATGTCTACGACTTGCAAGTACCGCGACTGCCAAAAAATCTTCCCGACTCAACTTCTCATGGCAAAGCATGGAAAGTTTCATTATGGTATGTGTCATCTTGAGTAATTTCTTACACTTAAATCACCATTAGGTAATGTAAAATTTCAGTGTGTCTGGCACACAAGGAGTTATGGATTGGTTAGTGGTAAATTGAGGTGTAAGTTAAAGGGGTGTGTAAATTTTTGTTATCAGCATGGAAGATTCCATCTTGGCTCTGTGTCCTGAAGGATGCAAGCTACTCCAGCTTAAAAATAGGATGTTCCGTTTCTGATAATGTGTTAAAATCATATGAAAAAAGGAAGAGCTGTTACATTCAAATCTGTTTTTTAGTGCCTTTTTAACATTTTAAAAGAATATCGAGCACTTGCACGTTAATATTTAATGATGAATTCAAAGCAATCAAATGCACTTCTCTTGACACTCACACAATGGAGTATACTTTCATTCCTACAGGAGGTAAATATAAATGTCCGTGGGAAACATGTGACAGCTTGTTCACGAACTTCCACTTTCTGAAGCGACATTTGATGCGGCATGTTATCAGCATTCCTGCGATGGATGCTCTGAGGTCGTGGGTGTGTGCCAAGTGCAACATGACTTTCAAACTAGACAGCAACCTGGCAAGCCACATGAAGAAGCATGTGGAAAAATCTGGTAAGAATTCATTTTGGTTATTAGAACTGATCTTTTGGGTTTTTTCATAAGCGTTTTACGGCACTTGTAACACAATAAGGTCAAATAAGTGCAGAGAAATAAATGTGTTACAAGAGAGTAACATACACTAAAAAGAAGAAGGAGCGATAAGGACGATAGATGTTTGATAGGAAAGAAGGAGCAAACCACACCAGAGCACCCACCAACCTCCCACTCTTTTGGGTTTGCTGATTTTTCGGAATTTATCACTAAACCGTGATTCTGTTTCAGAATGATCTTGATTTCAGTATGTATCCTAAGTTTTTGTTTGTTTTTGTAAACCAATCTATTTTCATCTGTTGTTTGTTTTTCTTGAGCTACTTTGGGGTTTTTTTTCTCCTCTTTGTTGGCTTATGGGTAGAATGTTAGTCGTAAAGGTGTCTCTCAGAAACATATAATTTGTGTAATAATGTTTTTGTAGAAAAGATCTTTCTTTTTGTCAGGAATATTTAGAAAGGCATTATTCGCTGTAGTAATATTAGGCAGTGTTGAAAAATGAATGAAAGGAATCCTTTGCTTTTTCTGTCTCCAATGTATTTTCTGGCATGGATGTATTTTCTGTCACTATTATATTTTCAGAGTACGTATGTCCAGAGTGTGGCAAAAAATTCCGTCATAATCATTTGAAGCGACACATGTTGATTCACAAGAAGGAAAAGGCTCATGTGTGCAAACACTGCGGAGTGCGTTATGGAACTGTGAATGGTTTGCGATTCCACATACTAAAAATTCACAACATAGGTACGTTATTTTTAATTGTTTATTCACTCTGAGACTGAAGCATCTGATTTCTGTGTTATTTATGATCATATACCTGAACTATCACTTTGGGTATATTTGGCTGCCTCTGGCAAAAGAGAAGCCAAAAGATGTTAAGGTAGTCCGAGAGTAATTTTGTGTCCTGACATGATGGAATCAGGCGCTAGTCAGTTTTTGGGCATGTGGAGTTATTGGTATCATCTTAAAGTTTGTTAATTTGTCCGCTTTGTGTTGAAAAAAATACCTATCTATCTCAAGTGGAAGTCAATATATAATTGAAGGAAGTGGGGGTCACCTGGTTTCAGCAGTAAAATATGCGAGAAAATGGCTGCCAAAATTTGGCCACTTCCAAAGCCTGAGTGTCTTTGAAAATATGACAACCTGTTAAGACATTTCCAAACACATTCTAAAGAGACATTACATTGGAATCCTGTTATAACGAGAGGGAGGGGACGAAGCAAAATGTCCGTTATAGCAGGATTCTCGCTATAAGGGATCCAGTAATAAATTCAAGGGAAACTGTTAAGTAGGCCTAATCTATGAGTATGGTGTTCTGTTTCTCCTTTTGCTATCTCCCCTGTGATGATTTTGTTTCAACATGACCTCTAGGTCTTACTTGATGAAAAATCGAATCAGCTTTGTTTCTTTAGCGCTAGATCTAGCGATGTGGACTGACAGTTCGGCGTTGGCGATCACAAAGAAAGGGCTCTGGGCTAACTCGCCCACTGTGTTTTCCCCCCACCCCACCCCACCCGGTGGTGCATTCTGTCTGCTTGCACATGTCACACATTCACTCCAGCCATCACATTGCTGTGACCTCTCCATCCCGGCATCGGAGAAGTGAGAGGCATGGCAGGCCTTGATAATCTAAACTGGCCTATCACGCGATGCGTTCTGCTTGTCTGCGCGCATGCCACACCCTCCCTACTCCGTTGTTCCGGCCTTCATTGTTGACGCACATGGGCTCTCCTATTCTTTGTTTCGCAAGATCAGCAACAAGTTTCTCAACTGGCGAGGTCTTGCATTATGTATAATTGGTTATGCCATGTGCACAGCAGCAGCAATATTCCACTATAACCGACTCGCGAGTGTGTCTGATAGCGCTATAGCAGTATTTTATTTACAAAGGTAAAGAGGAGAAAAAAACGGGGTTTTAGAATAGTGCCTTTATAACAGACTTCTCGGTTTTTCTGGACTCGTTATAAGTGGACTCCACTGTATTGGGCTTGTGCTGAGCACTCCTGTCATAGATTCCACAGATAGGTCATGAGCCAAATTGACTTTGTAAATAATTCTTATTTGTAGTTTGAAGTAAAAAATTCTCTAGACTTTTCTGTTTGCACTCATATTTTTCTAAAGGGACAATATTCTTATGATACTATTTCAGGTAATTTGCGTTTCAAATTATTTGTGTTTCTAAACTGATATTTAATTTCTGTAGACTTTGTACTGTACTCAACAACTTTTCTTCTGTAATGATGGCCTTGTGTTACTATTTCAGGTGCTTGGTCTTTTGTCTTCTTTACTGATGATTTTTTTTTTACTATTTCAGGTACTTGGCCTTTTAAATGCAATTTCTGCAGCAAAGGTTTTATCAGTGGCTCTGAGCTTCGTCGGCACATGCCATCCCACACCAAAGAGAAACCATACCCCTGCAAGCAGTGCGGGGCCCAGTTTGCCACCCATACTGGGCTCAAAGGTCACATGAGAAAACATTCAGGTCAGACCTTTACAATTTCTTCTTCTTCTTCTTCTTCTTCTTCTTCTTCTTCTTCTTCTTCTTCTTCTTCTTCTTCTTCTTCTTCTTCTTCTTCTTCTTCTTCTCCTCCTCCTCCTCCTCCTCCTCCTCCTCCTCCTCCTCCTCCTCCTCCTCCTCCTCCTCCTCCTCCTCCTCCTCCTCCTCCTCCTTCTCCTCCTCCTCCTCCTTCTCCTCCTCCTAGTTCTTCTTCTTCTTCTTCTTCTTCTTCTTCTTTCTCTTCCTCTTCTTCTTCTTTTTCTTCTTCTTCTTCTTCTTCTTCTTCTTCTTTTTCTTCTTCTGCTGCTGCTACTGTTCCTCCCTTTTCTCCTTCTTCTTTTCCTTCTCCTTGACTAACAAGACAGTAGGGATATTGTGAAGGTCAGGCTGTACACTGCGACTTTTTTCCTCAGCTTTAAAGCCTGCAAGGATGTGGCATATTTTTGGATTTTTCATATTGCAGGAGCGTCACGCCCTCGTCTATTCTTAGCATACATCTAATCTATTGAAAAGTTGACGTATTATTATTTTCCTCAACACCACAATTTAGCCTCTTTGTGTACACCTAAGAAACATGGTCCAACAGAGGGGTTAGTACTTTTCGAGAGTCCCGTGGACACGTCAAGACAGCCTTGGAGTGAATTCTTCAAGCTTACACTGAAATGAATTACACTTGTAATTTTTAATTTACTGTGTAGGTCAGAATTGTGTATTTCGTGTCGTCAGTGAAGTCAATGTTGAAATTGTTAGGGATGTCACATATCTCAGCACAACCAGTAAGTGGAAGCCTTTTGAGTTACATATGTTCATCTAAACTAAAATAATATGCAATGAAATATGTACAACAACAATGCAATTGTTGATTTCTTAATCAATAGTTTAATTTCTATCTACCTTGACGCAGCTACGAGAAAGTTTGACCTAAAACTTCCAAGGTTTTCCAGTTGATAATTTATGCTGACTTGTACTGTTTTGTGTTGATATGAAAGTGATGCAGCATTATCTGCCTTAACTGGTTCGCTCCTTATAGGCCATGTCTTTTTTACTCTAGGTCAAAAGTTTGTGTGTGATGTGGAGGGCTGTGGAAAGGTGTACACCACCCCTCTATCTCTCAGAGGACACAAGGCTCAACATGAAGGCTTTTCCAAAACATGCGAACACTGTGGCAAGACCTTCAGGAACCCCTACGGACATAAATGCAAAGCCAGCAAAGAGGCCAGGAAACAAGGAACTGATACACAAGGTGCTTGTTCGTTTTTTAACTCTTATATGTCACTTGTTATGTTTGACAAGGGATTTTTGTGGGTGGTTGGTTGGTGCTCTGGTGTGGTCTGCTCCTTCTTTCCTATCAAACGTCTGTTTTCCTTATCTCCCCTCCTTTTTTGTGTTAGTTATTCTCTTGTTAAATCTCTAATCTTCAGCTCTTATATAATATGACCCTATTGTGTTTCAAGTGTTCTAAAAGACATACTAAAACAAGTGATTTTTAGATGTGGTTAGTTGTTCCAATACCTTTTTCATAAATCAGTGGACATTTTTTCTAGCTCATGTAGTCTGGATGCTCAGCTTAGAGCTTAACTTTGATGAATCAGTACACACGTGTTTTAAATGGAGGTCAGCCAGAATAGCCAATACTTTTGACTGGTTACGTTGACTTGCCTTTGTCATGTCTTATAGTCAAATTATTGGTCATTCGTTTCTCAAAGGAGAACGACACTCTTTACTCTTTCTCTCCCCATCTTTAGTGTAAGAACCTATGAATTTTATTATGTGGAAAAAGTCTGTGATGCTGGAAAGGGTAAGCACACTCACTCACTCACACACACACACACACATACACACACGCACACACACACACACACACACACACATACACACACACACACACACACACACACACATACATACACACACACACACACACACACATACATACACACACACACACACACACACACTCACTTACATGCACACACACACACACACACACACACACACACACACACACACACACACACATACATACACACACACACACACACACACACACACACACATACACACACACATACATACACACACACACACACACACACACACACTCACTTACATGCACACACACTTATGAGATACACGAATGCATACTCATGAGCATGCGTGCGCAGACATGCACGCACACACACACACACACACACACACACACACACACACACACACACACACACACACACACACACACACACACACATACACTTACAAGACACACATGCGTGCATAGACACTTGCACACACACACACACATGCACACACACACACACTCACACACGCATACTTACAACACAAACATACACACATGCACACACACACACACAGACACACTCTAAATGCACACACACAGACAGAATATGTGTGTGTGTAAATCAAAGAATGTTCCTTTTAAGGAAATTAAGAAGTTTCCGTGTTGATAATAAGATTATGTCCCTGCTGTACCATTCTATGACTGAAAGTGTGCCATTATTTTGTATTTGCTGCTGGGCTGGGAATTGTAAGGTGAAAGATAAAGAATAATTTGACAGAACCATTAAGAAAGCCAGCAAGATCTCTAGATATGATTTTACTAGAATTGATGAAATGTATAACACCACAATTATGAAAAATATAAAAAGCATTATAAACGACCCATCAAACCCACTTTCCACACAAATTGTAAGATCCCGCAGGGGCAGATATGTACCTCCAAAAACAAGGAAAGACAGATATAAAAGAAGATTTTTACCATCTAGCATAAGACTATTGTCAGAATAAGCATAATGTCTATTGCTCTTTAGAGTATGTATCTACTAGTATATAACTCCAGAGGTGTTGTAATCAAATTCCTGCATGTGGTTGAATGATGCATCTGATGTGATATGTACATTTTGTCAGCTTTACTTCTCTTTTCATGTTGAATTTTGATGAGGGTAATATATAATTTAGATTTTTTAATGTATACCTGCATGTGTTTTTACGGTCCTGTACAGCCAAGAAAAATTTTCCTCTGGGATAATAAAGTATTATCTTATCTTATCTTATCTTATATATGCTTGTACTCTCATAAATTTCTCTTTCTCTGCAGGTCAGGGTGAAATTCCTGTTGTTACTGCCTGCCCATCATCAGACCCTCAGCCTGCAGTGTCAACACCGTCCAGTCTCTCTGTACCCCAGCCACATCTGCCTCAGTATCAAGCCGCTGCAGCCATGAAGCTTCTTCCTCCTCTTCCTACTCCTCCTCCTCCTCCTCCTCATCAAGATTTGTCAGTGCAGATATCTAAGCCGCCCCCACCCCCATCCCTTCCGCAACCACTCTCACACTCGCTCCTACTACCCCATCACCACCATGTAGATCTGTCCTCTTCTAGTCTCTCTTTACCACTTGCCCCTCCTCCTCCTTCTCTTCCCCCTCTGTCTGTTCCTCCGACTACCCAAATCGTTCTGCAACAACCCCATCACCAAACATTGCTGCACTCCCCACTGCAGCTCCCACGACCTCCAACACAAGCAGGCATCCGCTCGGGCACGCATCCAGAGAGAATGCCACAGAACAATACAAGAGCTGTCATCCCCCAAAACACAAGAACTCAGGATCCTGCTCAACATGCTGTGCTACTGCAAGCGGCAGTGATTCAAGGTCAACAGAATCAGCACATTCCCACGAACATGACACGGAGCGTTACCATGGAGATTGCTTCCGATTATAATTTCAGTAGTAGCAGTTACAGTGTGAGCTGGGAGGATCAAAGTGGCATGTCATGAGCCTAGAAATCATCAGTGTCTCTGTTTTTTCTGTAAATCAACAAAATTTATGTTATTACTAGAATGTACCCTCACCTCTGTTTTAAGTAGGAGTCACTCTCGTCTCTGTTTTTACTATAATTAACTAGGTCTCTGTTTTAAACTGGTGTCTGTGCTGTAAAAGTTAAGTGCTTCATTGTCTCGCACAGGAGGCCTGAGTCGAGTGTGAGTCCTAAGTTGAAAGAATTTTTAGCGAGTGTCTTTGTGTTTCTCTGCTTGGATGTAATATCCCTCTCAGGTTGGGTTGGCTCTGACACACAGGGTCAAAGCCCACCTCCTAACTGATCTAAATAGTGTTGATGGAGGGGGGGGGGGGAACCAACTACATTGAAAAAAATGTTTTTACTAAAAATCATCTGTCTTGGGTCTCAATTAAAATTATCCTTGTCTCTGCTTTAACTATAAATCACCATCTTCTGTTTTATGTTTCCTTGTTCTATCTTTTCCGAAATTGTGCTCTCAATAATATCAATAAATTCACAACTTGTGCTGCTGGATCTTTTTAAAAAAAAGCTCAAATGTTTTAAAGAAGTTTTTTCTCTGAAGTTAAACGTTAATTGTATGGTGCTATTTATTATTTTCATATCTTGGACCACTTTTGTCTCTGAACAGAACTCTTGTTGTTCTTGAGAAAAAATTTCTGGTACAATGTGATTGTTGTAATGGTGATGTGGACATATTAGACACACCTGTGTTTAGTTATGGCCAGAATTTAATATGGGCTTTTAAAAAAAGTTTTCGTTACAATGACACACGAGTGCGGAGAGCGGAGAGGTTAATTTCGGCTGTGTATTCTTCGCTCATGGTGGTTTTACATGGTATAGCATTTCTTGCAATGCTCATGGGTGCATTTCAGTATATCTGTGTTCTAGTTTTTCTCAATGGCAATAGGTGATAGGCATGGGAGAGGTTACAAACTCTGTAAAGTCATCCTAGAGGCTGGCATGATAGGGAAGATGACTGTATTCAGAAAAAAAACATTTGGGAACAATTTATGGTGGCGCTATTAACTGGAAAATATACTTTTTTTGCATCTTTGATCAGCCTTTTTCAGTAAAATCCACACGTACAGTAGAGTCCACAAATCTCAAACATGAAAATCAGATTCTCAGGTATTTCGAATATGATGTTCAGTCTCGTTTCAGCCCCTATGTTTTCTTTGTATTTACTTCATGGAGTTCCCGAACACCCAGAACACGAAACCCTCGAATATCAAATAAGTGTGAGCCGTGCTGACAAAGTGAGAACTTCTCCGTTTTGAGCCCTATGGGAAAAAAACATCCCACTTATAGGTGAAATAGGTACAATTTATAAGTATGAAATAACAAAAGTAAAAGGCTTGTTAAACTTTAAAAATATGGCATCAATAGGAAATCTAAAAATTTGACCCTAATGTCGAATTTTGGCCAACATCTCCATGTGTGGATTACGAGAAGTACATGTAAGTCTTTTTGTCACCACGCCTCGCAAACTCCCTTCGCATTCTCAACTAAAGACCCGGCTTTACAGCTTTTGTGGCCGCTGGTAGGTATTACATTGTTATTGTGACAGCAAAAATGTGGTCCTTGTCTCAACACGAGAGGTTGGAGGAAGGGGGGATGGGGACAGGGAAGGGGGGTCGGGAGTGATGCTGACCGCACCGCATGAGTGGCTCGCATGCGTGCAATCATGCTGTGGGACGCGCATGGTGCGGATGGCAAGGGCTTTAACTTTCTGTAAGCCAATGAAATTAGAAGAAAGGAATGACATAGAGTCAGCTGTGCACACATGAGATTTTCTGCTTTCCACTTTCTTTCTTCTTGCTTTCACACTGTCAACACGCCAATCATGGGAGCTAATGTTTAAATTTTTTTACCTCCCTTGATTTTCTCTTTATTTCTTTGTATTTGGGGTTTTCATTGACATGATGAATTACAGAAATCTCGAACACAATTTCTAATCCCTGACTAATTCGAGTTACCCATCTTTAACTGTATATGTTTTTAAATGGACATGAAAAGTATTAAGCCCCCCCCCCACCCCTTAAAAAAAAAAAGAAAAATAATACCCCCAACCCCCCAAACATTGTCAGCCTCTTTGATTTTGATGAGAGCCAGGTTTCAACATAATGTCACACAATTATTTTCTATGGCAAAGTACAAGCCAAGTCCGCAAGCTGAGAAGAAGAAGATTTGTGGAAATATGAGAGCCGGATTGTCACTTTTAATAATAGCAATTGTCATCCTATGGTAATTGTACTCGTAAATGTGTAGTGTTTTACTCCTTCATTAACATAATTTCAAACATTTAGGAGGTGGGCTTCTTCTACTCTGCCTCTTAAAGCAAAACCTGAGTTGTGGTTGGCGGGTACTCTGGTGTGGTTTGCTCCTTCTTTCCTATCAAACATCTATTGTCCTTTTCTCCGCTTCTTCTTATTTATGTTTGTTACTCTAATCTTTTGGCACTCATATATATGACCTTATGCAGTTGCGAGCACTATAAATCCTCTACTACCTCGGGGCAGTGCCACTGACTGTAGTGTCTTTAGGCCATTCCCAAAGGGGGGACAGTTCTCGTTCAAGCATAGTATAAAGGGCTGACTCATCATGTCACGCTCATAACTGTGCCTGATCTACAACAGGGAACTGCTGCTTTTTCTTTCCCGATCCTAACTATTGTAATTTTCCTCTACCTCTTTTGTATGTTTGTCACTCTCTTGTGACCTGGTATTTTGGGGTGCCTTGATAGTCGAAGCAGACCTTGTGCTGTTGAAGCTAGAGAGGTGAGCAGTGTAAGTCTGATTCCTTGTAAAGACTTCTCTGTTGACACCCACCCCTTGGCGCTCATATGATCTTATGCAGTTGCGAGCGTCGTAAAACCCTCTACTATGAAAAAAAAACAACAACCCTCTACTAAAACTAAAATGAGTTGTGCAGGATTCACCACTCCCTTGCACAGCGATACTCAGTAAAGAAACATTTACAGTGGAGTCCACTTATGACGAGTTCGGAAAAAACGAGAAGTCTGTTATAAAGACACTATTCTAAAACCCCGTTTTTTCTCTTCTTTATCTTTGTAAATAAAATACTGCTATAGCGCGATCAGACAAACACACGAGTCGGTTATAGCGGGATATTCCTGCTGCTGTGCACAGCGTATAGGCCAATTATACGTAATGTAAAACGTCGCCAATTGAGAAACTTGTTGGTAATCTAGCGAAACAAAGAATGGGAGAGCCCATGTGTGTCAGCAATGAAGGCCGGGGCGACTGAGTAGGGAGGGTATAACATGCGCAGACAAGCACAACGCATCGTTTGATAGGCCAGCGTAGGGCCTAAGCCTAGTTTAGATTATCTAGGACTACCATGTCTCTCACTTCTCCGATGGAGGGGTCACAGTTATTTGATGGATGGAGCGAATGTGTGACGTGCGCAACAGCGGGCGAGTTAGCCCAGTGCCCTTTTTTCTGATCGCCAATGCCGAGCTGCCAGTCAACATCGCTAGATGTAGCGCTAGATTTAAAAAAAACCTAATTCGATTTTTGATCAAGTAAGACCTTGAGGTCATGTTGAAATAAAATCATCATCAGGGGAGATAGCAAAAGGAAATAAACAGAACACCAAACTCATAGATTAGGCCTACTTTACAGTTTCCCTTGAATTTATTACTGGATCCCTTATAGCGAAAATCCTGCTATAACGGACATTTTGCTCCGGTCCCCTCCCTCTCGTTATAACAGGATTCCACTGTAATATCCTCTCAGGAATCAAGCTCATGTCTTCTGTGTTCAACCACAAAGAGCCTAACAGCACCACTGAAAATGTTGGTATCCTAATCCTACTGTTCCTTCATGGCTGGCTTGGTTGTACATTTGTTCTTATTCTCCATGATGTTTTAATAGTTTTGTGAATGTAATTTATTACTTTTTCCGTCTGTCTGAAATGCGTGCAATTGTAATTGTAATCCATTAAAAATTTATACACATTGTCTTGTCTGAACTCATTTCTTTAATTTTTCCTCAATCAATTTATTTTGGTGGGTGGTTGGTGGGTGATTGGCGGGTGTTGTGGTGTACTTTGCTCCTTCTTTCCTTTCAAACATCTATCATCTTTATCTTCCCTCCTTCTTTTTGCTGTAAAACTCTTACTAAAACTAAAAATTTCCTTTGAAGCTATGGAACAAGTAAAATGAGGCTGCACAGTTCAACAAATGAAAAGATTTTTAAAGATTCGATGTGTGTGATTTTATTGATTGTGAGTTCCCTTTCAGCCTGTTTTATTTAGCGAGTAGATATTTTTAAAAGTTCTGAATTTGCTATTTCTGTGACGTGGGTTTTTTGCTTGTTTGTAGTTTTTTTTAATGCAGGTGTTTTATGCCTTCACATCGACACAATTTAGATGTATTTGTGTGTCGAGAAGAATCTGCGGTCGTGTGAAGGCACGCACATTCAGCACATGTGACGGCGCACTTCCTCTTTAACAGAGATTACACTGTGCGGTCAAAAATTCGTGGCCCAACTTATCCTCAAATATCTATTTAATGGGTGAATCAATGTTATCCATGCTTTGCACAGCAGTTTGTATCAATTTGTGTTAACTAAATCATATTTTTCCACAACAATTTCTTCATAAGCTGATATAAAATGCTGTAAATCTCCATCACGCGGAAAATGGGATTATTTACAGCACTTCCTGCTTCTCACACACATTTTGCGTTCGCATATAGCCTACGTCACAGATCACCAATGACACTTTTTATTGGCCATACTTGTTACAAGAAATTCGTTGTATAGTGCACACATTTTTGGCTCGAAATCTTCTCAAAACAAGATAGTGTCACAATAAGAAAAAAAAATCAGCATTGCCCCAGTTGTAAACCTTCTAATTAGTAGAAACCACCCATTTGGTTGGGTTTTTATATTAGTGTTTATTAATAAGAAATTTTCTAGAACACAGCTAACTGGTAGGTGTTCATAAAAATATTGATCTACTGTTAAGACAAGTTGATAAAGGTCATTGTGCAAAAGCTGGAGAGTTTATGTTCGATAGTTTGGGAAATATTTGTCAATAAGTTTCTCCACAAATTTTTGACCGCTCTTTTTAAAAATAGGCCTACGCAACAGCTTTTGTCAGTGTTCTGCAGAGTTTGATTTTGATGAAGTTGCACAGAACAACAATTTAATTATATCTCACCTTGTTGATGCCAATTTTTTTATTTCTATGCGAATTCTACACTATGAATATGAACACTACGTATGTGTGTTGAATTCAAAGAATGTAATGCTCGTAAGATAAGAACAAATTCCGGATCTGAATATCTCTTCAGTATGTGCGGGGTTGTTTTTTTTTCACTTAGTGTTTTCTAGACTGACCTTTGGGTTTATTTGAAATAATGTTGATCCCACTGCAAGTAAAGTGTTAAGTGTATAACTCCACAGAATCAACTATGGAGTGAGTTTTTTCGGGGGCGGTTAGTGTGTGTGTGGGGGGGGGGGGTCCTTTTGTACAGTAGTACAAGCTAGAAATATAAATTATAATAATTGTAACTAACCATAAGCAGAGGTTTGATAGAGTTATTCTAGCATGACCCAAGAGGTTGTTGCATCTTGGTCCGTATAACAAATCACCATGCCCAACCCGCAACCAGCCTGATTGCATACATTGTACAGGTCTTGGGTGATTTCGCCATGCCCTTGGTGCACCCACCGGCATTCCGCTGTCTTTTGTCCTGCAAATGCCACAATCGGAGACAAATAATAAATGACTCTTCTTGAAGAAAATAACAGCATTGAAAACTGAAACTATCTTTTTTTTACAAATCTCCCCTTGAACAATTTACCTAAAAATCTCACAAACCAAGTTTTTCAACACATTTTTCTAAAATAAGTGTTCCAACCAGCTTCAATAAAAGGGTGAATAAAAAAGGAAGTTGATTATTAGTCAACAGACAACCCAAAGGAAGGTGATCTATTTTTTTTTCATTCTCCTGCTTTATTTCAAAGAAAGTGAAAATGGTTGCACCTAGGGTAGTTTAACCTAAATGAAATATGACACTGTGTGGATGTCAAACACATTTCTGCTTTTTTCTGTCCTCATCCTTACTACTTTTGTCATTTTTTCCTCTACTTCTTTTGTATGTTTGGTTTGTCACTCTCTTGTGAACTGCTATTTCCGGGGTGCCTCGATAGTCGAAGCTGTTGAAGCTAGAGAGGTGAGCAGTCTAAGTCTGATTCTCTGTAGACTTCTCTGTTGACACCCACCCCTTGGCGCTCATATGACCTTATGCAGTTGCGAGCGCCGTAAAACTACTAAAACCCTCTACTATAAAAAAAAAAGACCTTGGGCTGTTGAGGCGAGAGAGGTGAGCAGAGTAAGCATGGTCCCCCGTTTGGACTTCTCTGTTGACATCCACTCTTGGCGTTCATATGACCTTATTATGCTGTTGTGAGCGCCGTAAAACCTTACTAAAACTAAAACACCTTTCTGTTGTTGACCTTGATGCAAAATGTTTTTGTTTGTGCTTTGAAACGAACCTGGGTAATTTAGGCTAACGCTGGTGCTCGCTTGTCAGTGTGAGCTGACCTTTCAGTTGGCTTATTTTATGTGCATGTATGTGTGTTTGTGTGTGTGTGAGTGTGTGTTTGTGTTTGTTTGTTTGTGTGTGTGTGTTTGTGTTTGTTTGTAAGTTGTTTGTGTGTGTATTATGTGTTCGGGTTTGTGTGTGTGTGTGTGTGTGTGTGT